CACTTCCCTGTATCAACCCAGAACAATGATTGAAAATTTGATCAATTTGATCAATGATTGAAAATTGGATCGATAAGAACTCTATCAATTTGGCTGTTAGATTGCAATGTTTAAATGACCATGTGTGACCCATGTCCCACTCAAAGGAGGGGAGGTTGGCTAGCTCTTCTTCTTCCCTCACGTGGGCTTCAACTTTTGTGTACTTGGGCCCCACCAAACCTTCTGCCTGGACTGAGAACTGGACTGGTATTTCGCAAGATAACCAATCCACCCAAATTTCCACCCCTCCTTATAAATGGGTTGGAGATAATTTTGGGTTAAAAAATGAGATTATTTGGGTCTGACCCCACGTGGTTGAAGATGGCCTAATCGATGATTGCAAAAAAAATTATATATCGCATGATGACTGTAGCTCAAATGATTTTTTTATTATAAAGAAATATATAATATTTACAACAAAAAGAAATGGAGATTCTGTAATAAGTATTTCATGTTAAATATTATTTACATATTTATAATCTCGATCGTTGGATTGAGAGAAAAACAAAGGAAAAGCTCATTGGTGCATTCCTAAGGTTGTTGGACAGAATAGGTTTGATGTAATGCACCATAGTGGCCGCAACTTTGGTATTGATTTGAATGCCCACTCTTGTTCATGCCATGCATGGGATTTGAATGGAATCCAGAGGACTTTTGTGATGCAGTGTACAAGAAAAGGCTTATTTGAGAGCCTATGAACCAATGATTATGCCTATGACTAGCCAAGATTAGTGGATGAAGATTAATTTATCTCCATTACTCCCTCCAAGATACCACAAGTAGCCTGGTAGGCATAAGAAGACAAGGAAACAAGCTTTTGATGAACCTAAACAACCTGCTAATCCATATAAGCTTCTTAGGTAAGACATTCCTTTAAAGTGTGGCAATTGCGGTGAAGAAGGGCATAATCGAATTAGTTGTAAGATATGTGTCCTTATCAAAAATTGCTTTACATTTAAATCTAACTTGATGACTTTGCTATGGTTTCTGACTTGATGACTTTACTTATTAGGAACCTAGAAAGTTTCCAAGGAAAAACTTCCAGTAAGTGTCACGGTTTGAACTATGTATTCAACATTCAAATTTTCATATCATGCCTACCTAATTATTATTTGTTTTAGATAAGAAGGAGAGATGGTAGAGAGCAAAGTACCGGAAAACAAAGTATGCAACTAAGGCAAAGGAAACAAGCAAGTGGTTCCTAAGGGCCTTCTCAATTCCTGGCATCTCAAGTAGCCCAGGCTTCTCAATCCTAGCCATCTCAAGCAGCTCAGACTTCTTAATCTTAACCATCTCAAGCAGCTCAGGCTTCTCAAACATGTGATTCATCTCAATCTGCCAAACTATCTTGAGTACAACAACGTATGCGGAGGATGAAAGATCAACAGAGGAGCCATTTTGTCAAAGATCCTTGTTTTCATCCTTAGATGTGATGATGTTAAACTTGTGCAACAACCTGTTTTTGAATTAGGATAAACTCCTTTTGAATTATGGTTTCGTGGAAGAATGGTTTGAATGTTGTGGAATTATAGATTCTGCAATTGGTTAGTTTGTAAGACTTTAATGTCTTCAGGGTTGCAATTGGGTTGTTGGTTTGGTAACACTTTGATGTCTGTGATGGTTGGTTTTATTAGGCTTTGATGTCTGTCAAGGTTTTTGAGTCAGGTACTTAGATGTAATTGACCATTTGATATGTAATGTGATGGTTGGAACCTATTTTTGGTGTGGTGCTTAAATTGATTAGTTATTGAGATGTAACCATTTGATATGGCATGAACAAGATATGCTTATGAGTAACTTGTTTTTGTAAACTGTTTTTGGTATCCAATAAACAAGATATGGTTGTAACCTGTTTTTGGTGTGATGATTATTAGTATGTCACAATTTGATATCCGATGAACAAGATATGGTTGTAGCCTGTTACTGGTTTCCATTCATATCACAGTACAAAGAAAACTCAAAACAAATTACAATGAACTATTGCTTACTGATAAAACTCAAAACAAATTACATTGTTTTTCCACCAAATTACATTACATTACACCCACTGAACTACTGCTATTGGTCTACTGGTCTCAAATTACATTGCTTACTGAACTACTACTACTAGTCTCAAGTAGCCCAGGCTTCTCAATCACATTACACCCACCAAGTTACAAAACATATTACTCTTAATTCCCCCTAATTCATCTTCATGGAAAACATCACCAACCAGGAAAGCAACATAGCAGCCCACAATATTCTTGACTTTGCTCGAGTCTTTGCATTTTCCTTTTCCACCCATCAATCTTCCTCAGCAAACCAGGTATCAAAGACTTTGAATGCTAACACATTTCTACATCAAACCACTAAAAAAACCTATATCTTCTTTCACCACTTCCCTGTATCAACCCAGAACAATGATTGAAAATTTGATCAATTTGATCAATGATTGAAAATTGGATCGATAAGAACTCTATCAATTTGGCTGTTAGATTGCAATGTTTAAATGACCATGTGTGACCCATGTCCCACTCAAAGGAGGGGAGGTTGGCTAGCTCTTCTTCTTCCCTCACGTGGGCTTCAACTTTTGTGTACTTGGGCCCCACCAAACCTTCTGCCTGGACTGAGAACTGGACTGGTATTTCGCAAGATAACCAATCCACCCAAATTTCCACCCCTCCTTATAAATGGGTTGGAGATAATTTTGGGTTAAAAAATGAGATTATTTGGGTCTGACCCCACGTGGTTGAAGATGGCCTAATCGATGATTGCAAAAAAAATTATATATCGCATGATGACTGTAGCTCAAATGATTTTTTTATTATAAAGAAATATATAATATTTACAACAAAAAGAAATGAAGATTCTGTAATAAGTATTTCATGTTAAATATTATTTACATATTTATAATCTCGATCGTTGGATTACATGTATGTTGCATATTAAATCTATCAACATATCTAATGAATATAATCTAACAACCGATATTAGAAATATATAACCAATCTTTAACTTAAATACTCATAAAAAAATAATCCAAAAAAAGACTTCAGCCCATGGTCAAATAAGTTCCCCTACTCCACCGAAAAAGGAAAAAGACACTGTTGGCTTTTTGTCAGAAATGAGCCACAATGACGATGACTCTTGGATGAGGTGGCGAAGAAGTTACCTTGAATCATATATCCAAATTCCATTAGCATATCCCAAGATCAAGAATGCAAGATACTGCCACGTGGTTCAAAGAGCGCTGTTTACGACTTCACGTGGCCCAGCAATCCACCATTTGAATTTAGAAACGGGACCCACTGTCAATCAAAATAATCTTTATCCATTATCTGTACGACGAGTCTAAGCATATGAAAGGATGCACCCGCACACACAGACCACAAATTCCCACCAAATCCTGTTATTGTTTTTTAACCGTTTGGATTAACTACCGACGACATATCGGACGGTCAGATAAGGGTCCAGACAACATGCTAGATTTTACAGCTGTTACGAAGTCCCACATTAGAAGTGCTCTCTTTCTCCCCTTTGAATAACTCTCAGCTTTCCCACCCGCGTGCTGTTTGCTTCAACTTTGAGCAATTTCTTTTCTTTTTCTCTCTCTCTCTCTCTCACTCTCTCAATTTTCAAATCCCAAATCTCAAGTCAAGAAGAAAATCCCAATTTTTTGTTTCTGGGTTTTGGTGGAAATTAGGAATCCAAGGAGTTTCATTAATGGCAGAGGTTTTGAGCAAAACCAGTCTGTTCTCGTCTTGGCATCATCACAATCGTCAGAATCAAAGCATCTCTGTTTTCCCAAAGAGTTGTAATTACAATAAATCTGGGTCGTTTTGTTGCTCTCTGAAACTGAACCCAGAGATTTCATCACTTTCATTATCGACAAAGAGTGATTTTCATGGCAAAAGGGTTGCTCTTCAAGAGCATAGAGCCATGCCCAGCAGAGGGAATTTCCAATCCCAGGCTGCTTCTGTCGTTAATTCCCAGGTTGGTTTTTTTTCCTCTTTTTTTCTATCTTTCTTCTGATTTCTCTGCTGGGTTTCAATTTTTGTTTGTGCCTTTTTTTTTTCTTGGTTGCTGATTTTTCCCCAAAATTAAATAGAGAGTCAAAATTTTGATGTTGAAATTTCTGGGTTTTGTCCTTCTCCCTTAAAGTTTTGGTTTTTGGATTGAGTTTTCTTTCCTTAGTTTTGATTACTTCAAAAGTTAAAGAGCAGTTTATTGTATTGTGTAGAATCAGCAGACGGGTCTTCGGTTTGGGAAAGCTCTTAAATGGTGGGAAAAGGGAAATCAACCCAACATGAAAGAGGTAACATCTGCACAGGACCTCGTGGATTCACTATCAAACGCTGGAGATAAGCTTGTGGTTGTTGATTTCTTCTCTCCTGGTTGTGGTGGCTGCAAAGCTCTTCATCCAAAGGTAGCTACTCACTCTTTTCTTTCCATTTGATCCTGTAAATAGCTAAGAAACCAATTCACAAGACTGTTTGTTGATTGTGGTTGTTCTGCTTTATTTGTGGCAGATATGTCAACTGGCAGAGATGAACCCAGATGTCCAATTCCTTCAGGTGAACTATGAGGAACACAAATCCATGTGTTATAGCCTTAATGTTCATGTGCTGCCCTTCTTCCGCTTCTACAGAGGTGCTCATGGTCGTCTATGCAGCTTTAGCTGTACAAATGCCACGGTTAGTATTTTCATTCCTTTCTTTCTAATGAATCATTGATTATGTAATTGATTGTCCATCTGTATCTGTTTGCTTATTGTTGAAAATATGTCTTTTTATGAACTGGGTATATATTTTTCTTTGTTTCCTGTTTCAGACATGAAAAGTATTAATACTGTAATCTGTTGCTTTCTGATGAGTTGATTATTGACATCTAATCTATGTAATCCGGATTCAAATGGAATCTTTTTCACTTCCTAATAATTAGTTGAATCTAATTTATTCCTTAGCTTGGATTTTTCTTTCTTTGGAAATTCGTGAGAACCCATTTACCTTCAAGCATTTTTTATCTTATATCTCTCTGGATAATGTTTGTTGTTCTCATGCCATTACAAATAATGTATTCCATTGTTTAAGTTTGCCTTTTCCCTGATTCTTGTTTTCTACATGATGCCATTGACTTCACAGATCAAGAAATTTAAAGATGCCTTAGCCAAGCACAAGCCAGACCGCTGCAGTCTTGGACCAACAAAGGGGTTGGAGGAGAAAGAGCTCCTGGCTCTTGCTGCTAATAAAGATATCTCATTTAACTACACACCTAAACCAGTTGAAGCCGTGCCTACGCCTGCAAAGGAAGTGATTGTATCTGAAGCGGCACCATCTCGTCTTAACTCGGAAGCTCTTCCTCTTCCATCAACGACAACCTCAAAGTCTGCTCAAGTGGTCACTGCCTGGAGATAACGTGGTTAGTTTCACAATCCCTACCCTACCCCGTTGTGATGTACAGTTGTGTTTCTTCTTGATGATACATGCCAGAATGAAACACACACACACATATATATATATATATATATATATATATATAGTCGAGGTTAAGTGGATACCACTGTGCGCATACTTACATATACCGCCATAAAGTTGCAGGGCTTCGGATTTGGTTTTTGGGATCCAAGCCTGCAAATGTCTAGTAATTTTGAAGAGCAACCAATTGTATGATTGTTGGTCTGCTCCTATATCTCTTCTAGGAAGAGAAGCCACTTGTGAATGTAAAGAGCTTATTTTTCTCTCGGTGCTTTTTTTTTTTTTTTCCTTCTTATTGGAGTGTGGTATAACTGTATAAGTATTATACTTTGGGTTTGAATAGAGTGCTGATTTTGCAATTTTAGTTGTTGCTAATGTTGAAGCACATGTTGGTTTGAGTCATCAGGCTTAAAAAGCTGAAAGCACAGCAGCTGTTCAATGTCAAATTTCAATTTATAATTTACTGCAAGCAACAATATATAGATTAAGGAAATGAAGTTTTGATTTGCCTCCATATAAAGAAAAATTGGATGAAATGTTGATGATTTAGACTGAGGGGGAACATTGGCGACAAAAAGATTTCATGTCCTTAATTTTCTTTAAAAAAAGGTTAGGGTCAATTGAATGTTAGGTTACAAGTTCAGAAGGGCAAATCACCAGTTTAGCCTTCCAAGCTTTATGGGTTAATAGTTGGAATAAAACAAAAGTTTCGAGAGAGTGCATTAACTACATAAAGGAGGGTTGGAAGGATGCATGAACTACTCGATTTGGGTGGATAATCTTTATCGAGAAAAAGAAGAGATAACGAAAAGAAAAAGAAGAAAGAGAGAGATGGATAAGGTTGGTCGCTTGTGTTTGTGGAGGCATCGACGTGGCCTCTCCCACTTTTATACATTCAAATTCAATATTGGATAAAGCCATAATGCGCGCGCTGCGTGGGTTCCTACCACAGAAAGATACGCATTCAAAAATACCGACGGGAAAAGGGGATGGTTTCAACCAAAAAAAGAAAAAAAAAAGGGAGGGGATGGTCTTCCTTCCTTTTTGCTAGGGCTTCACATGTGTCCAGCAGGCAATTCCCATCAAAGAGCTTTCGTGTATTATATGGTTTGTATCCCATTGTTTCAAATTTTGAAAGCGACCTCCAACCTGTTTCCGTTGTTTCTTACAATTTTTCAGGGGCACACGTCAATACGCGTCAAGATATTAAACCAGATATTCCTGGTTTAAGATTAAGATTGAGGCGAAAATATCCCATAGTAAATATCTTGTTCCTGATTTGCATTATTTTGGAAGGCGAAGTGGTTTGGCCGCCATTTGGGTAAGGCACTGGTGTTCAGTTGGATTTGCTCCTTAGTTCAACTCCCAGCAGTTGCAATACTTGGTGGTCAGTGGCAGACTCAGTTCCACGAGTGGGGATTAGTCGAGGTGTGCGCAAGCTAATTTGGACACCTCATGGTACTTACCCGAAAAAAAAATTTATGATATTTATGATAATCAATTTACTTGTATCCACATAAAATTTATAACAAACATGAATTAATAGACGCGGGTATAAGAGCAATTCCAATGAGGAGCTAGCCTGAGCAAGAGTTCTCCTAGGCCCCCAATTCCGTTTCCAACGGCCAAGGCTTGCCAGGGCAAGTGCTGGGCTCCATCAGCCCGGGCAAGGCCCAAGGCAAGACTTGCCTGGGCAAGATGACTTAATGCTGATGTCATTGTGATATCAACATCTAATTTGAATAACAAAAAATTTGAAAAAAAAAGAAAAAAGAAATCAAAAATTTCAGATTTTTTTTACTTGCTTAGGTAAGATGACTTAATGCTGACATCATTGATGTCAACATCCAATTTAAATAACAAAAAATTTGAAAAAAAAAGGAAAAAAAATCTTTTTTTTTTCACTTGCTTGGGCAAGATGACTTAATGCTGACATCATTGATGTCAACATCCAATTTAAATAATATAAAAAATATCAGAATTTTAAAATTAAATTATTATTTTTAAAAAAAAAAAAAAACCTAGCCATATTTTCACTTCCCGCACCAAAACTCTACAAATTCCTTTCCTCATATCTCATATGAATAGTGGTTGCTTTTGGGTTGCCATGGCAATAGGTGGAAAACCAATAAAAAATTTGCTAGGGCAGATACTATTCATGTAAATAGTAACAACCTTTGCCTCCTGTTGCCTTTTGACATGATAAATAGGTGGAAATGCTCTAAGCAAAGATTAAAAATTTGAGGATTTGCCAATGGGTCTAACCCAATAAAAAAGAGCCTTGAAATTTGAGGATTTACTATATTATTTTCTCTGCTTTTGGAAGAGTGAGTGTTGAAACTTGTTGATGGAAGGCAGGGAGATATAGAAAGCTGAACGGCGGGGCATGAAGCAAATGGGCCACCATTTAACCCAAGATTCTTGAGCTTGTTCTTTCTGCCCTCCCTTTGCTGTAGATGCCCTGGATTGCATCTCCTTGTGTTTTGGATTGGACTTTTATTTTGTTTTTGTGAGTTATGTATTTGGGCTCTCTTGTAACTTTGTTTGGTAATGAATTATTGATTTCCTTCCACATAGAAAAAGAAAAAGGAATATAATAATACTAGAAGATGTCAGAAAACATAAGCAACCTCCAAACATGGCAATATTCTCCTACAACGACACTAGTTATTTTCTTTTTTTCTTTGGAGAATTACAACAACACTAGCTGCAGCTGGCTATACATAGATGATTAGTGTTTGAAACAGCATCTAAATTAAGAAAAGGAGCAAAAACAGCTGGGTGGGAGTGGGAACTAGGAACCCATTTTTTGTGGCTTTGGTGAGAGCAGAATAACCAGATTCTTGACTTGAGAATATGACCTATTGGCTTTTGTTTTGAGTTTAGATTCCACATAAATTCCCATTCCCATATGCATAGAATCTTTAGAAACTTTTCCCTCCCCACAACTTTTTTCCGCAAGGAATAGCATTCCGTGGTCATTTCTCACTTTCTATTTCAGCCAATGCCATCAGATATCGATCTCAAGCATGTGTGTGTGGTGTGGTGTGGTCAAAAACTCCCAACCAAACCTTGTTTATACGCTTATATATGTGTGAGCTTATGATTGACCAGCCCATCATAACATTATTTGATTCCCATCTAAAATATATATGCCATGTTCTCCTTTTTAGCCAGAGCTTCTGGTTCTCCAAAGTAAATGGTATTAATATGAAATCCCATAAAGGGAAAATGCAAGTACAAATCAAGAACATCTTTCTTCATGCTCTATTCTAAAGCAACGAATAATTTATCAATATTCATTGACATATATTTGATCTGAGGAGAGGTAGGTAATAAAAGCAGTTAGTTTTGATCTATCGTTGTAGTAAAACAAAGAAAGAAAAACAAACCCCCCCCCTCTCCCCCTCTCCCCCTCCCCCTAAGTGAGTATTCCATGCATGTTTAGGCAACATCATGGAAAAGGTAAGTACTTTACTTGTACCATTATGGGAAAGATGGTGGTGACTTTGTCCTCTTGACAGACATGAAATGAAAGTTGTAACACTATGCTTATTCCATTTATGGGGGCCATGGTTATAACCACTTTAAATGTTTTTAAGAGTATCTCTCCAACTGCAATGACAAATTGTCACGTGGACATGAAATGACAAAAATTAAACGTTAAAGTTGCTCCAACCGAGTCCTACATGGATTTGAAGGCTGTAAGAGATATGTAAAAAACAACATATCCAATGTTATTTTAATATTTTTTCAGTCATAGACTCACTATTATTTACTCTCTTTTAAAACTTTATACATCTTATGTGCCCCATCGGGTGGAGTTAAATTTTTTCCCAAGTGTCAAATTTAACATTTTGCATTTGACATCTCTCTTGGAGATGCTGCTAAGGTGGCTCATCTTAGTCTATGTACTTAATTAATTAGAACATAGTAACTGTCGCATCATAGCCAATTGATGTGGACTAAAAATGTGGTTATGTATCATTTTTCACTTGTAAATTAGCAGCTAAGTTGAAATGCAGCCTTCATTGACAACATGCCATGGTCAGCAATGATAAGGAACAAGAAAAACAAAAATATAGTAATTTCTGATCTATATACAATCTCCAACCTTGAACAGTCAATTGAAATGAAGGTTGACAACAGAATTAAGCTGGGGGCCGGCAATTAGCATATCGAAATTAATTAGTTGTAATTAATGGGAAGGCATCATATTATTCCAATGCACGTGGTAGCAAGCTATTCTGGGATTCTACTTTAGCATGTTGCCTCAAGGCTTCTCCAAATTCAATACAATAATATTCTCACATATCAGAATCAGTTGATTTTCATGAAAAGGCAGACTGGAACTGACTTGAAGATCATTGATTATATATTGTTTTAGGTTAAAGTAGAGGCAATGTTTGATGATCAATTATGTTGTTTAATTACTTGTAGGAAATTAACATAGCTTTTCTATAAATTAATGAGCTCTTACATATTCTATATATGTACTCTTTCTTCTTCTTTTTTCTTCTTCAAAGTTCAAACTACAAATAAAATTACAAGAAAACGTCCCTCCATGGATCTTAAAGTCATCAAAATATCAAATTTTAATAATCAATGTAACACATTATAAGGAAAATGACTAAACTAAATGGTAAATACATGTATGAAGCAGGGGAGACCCTAGGCACAAGCAGGTAAGGCTGCCGTCTAGGTTACAATTGTTTGAGTTTATATAATATATTGGTAAAAGACCCCCTAGTGTAGTGGTTTGGAGCAATTGCTTCCTCATGATAGGTCTTGGGTTCGAGTCCTAGCATCTATGTAGTGTGTATAAGTTTATTATACTATCGTCCCTCCTCTCAATGGGAAATGTCCTAAAAAACAACAAATATTAGCCTTTTGATCAAGGTAAAAGGAAAAAAAAAAAATTGAGAAAGAGGGAATATAAATGATTTAATTGCACTTGACATACATTATCTGAAATTTTATCCATAAAAACAAATCACCATTTTCTGTCTACATGAAAAAGAAGGATTAGAAA